CAGGAGACTATGTCCTCTTTGTAGAAGGAACTTACAATACAAGACTGGGATTGTCCCCCTATTAACAATAGGGAAAATGTTTTGTTGTTTACAAGGCCGCTCGAAGAGCGAGACTGTGAAAATGCATGGCCGTGCTCAGATGGATTTTAGAAATCATCTGCTTATTGACAGTTGAACTCGGAGATCGAGAAACACTTTTGAACGTAATAAGGATGACAAAGAATCTTACCTTATAGTTCACGAAGAAACATTAAGTGACATAGGAAATGGGCTATATAGTGTATGCACACTTGTCCGGAAGGACAAGTGGGAGATTGAAAGGAATGGTGTCCTTCCAACAAGTGTATTCTTCCGATAGGGGGTTCAGAATTATTACAGAGCTAATTCTTCAGTAAGGTCAAGTGATCGGAATGCCTAGGTGGAGGCCGCTTCCGATCAGTAATATTAATGTACAATTGATGTTACAGCTTAATCTTAACTGAACCCTTCGGGTCGAACCCAATCGAATCACCGATCCGAGACGACGAATTAATCCGAAAGGATTTAATGAGTCAGCAGAGTTTTACGAATACAGATGTCGGATATCGAGCCTAGGGCGTCGAGACCGAGCGTCACAAAATCACAAAGCGAAAAATATGAACATAGCCCTAGCACCACACTGGCCTAGCCATGTGGATGCTAGGCTAGTTCGAGCTAGCATGGCTAGGCGCAAGCCTTAGCACACTAGGTGCACTAGGCGCACTATCGCAGCCCTAGCATCATACCTAGGCGCTATCGCATCCCTAGCATGATGCCTAGGCACCATCACAGCCATCGCAGGCACTAGGCGCACCTTGGGCACCATCGCAGCCCATCGCAAGTGCTATGCGCACCATAGCAACCCATCGCACCATCGCAGCACAAGCACAACACCATCGCATGGCTAGGCTAGTGCGTGTGTGCGTGTGCTTGTGCTTTAGCCCATCGCATCATCGCAGCAAGCATGCCTGCGCACATGTGTGCCTTCGCATGGCACTGCATCGCAGCATGTGTGCTTGGGTGCTAGGCACCATCGCAGGCACCTCGCACAAGCACAACACCATGGTAAGCCTTGTGTGCGTGTGCATGTGCGTGGAGGGCATCGCAGCAGCAACAACATGCGAGGGTATGCGAGGCTGGTGCGCATGGCTGGCAAGGAAAGGGGCCATCATGCGTGGCTTGCTAGCAGCACACATGCTGGCTATGCTAGCGTGTGCGATGGCGAGGGATGATGCGTGCCAGGAGCCAGCACTAGCGCCTAGCTAGCAAGCAGCATCACCCGGCTAGCTAGCGAGCAGCAGCGCTGGGCGTGCTGTGCATGCGAGGGAGCTGCTAGGCAGGCTGGTGCTAGCTGGCAGCAGCCCAACAGGCCTTGCTAGAGCCGGTTTTGCAAGTGGGGACCATTGCTTGGAGCAATGGCTTGGGGATCAAGGCAATGGTCCCCCCAAGCCTTTGGTCCTCACTTGGCTTTCTCTATTATTGTGCCATGTGTCGTTTTGTAATTGAATTAGTTAATTATTTAATTTTGGAATTAAATAATTATCATTTCACCAACTCTCCCACATTGATGGGAGATTGGAAACCAAGGATTCATTTCCTTATAAATACCCTCCAAGGGTGTTGGGAAATGAACAACCTTGAGTGGAATTTAAAAGGCAACTCTAATTAAGAATGAACCTTTGATTCGTAAAACTCATTGTTATTTTGTCCGGGTCTTGACTAACCTTCAAGACTTAGGACGCTCGGTTCGGGTCGAGGGTACGATCCGTCGGAGATCTCGTGTTTTCGGGATTTTAAAGTAAGAGCTCTTTGGGAGCGAAGCACGCGACAAAGGTATAATTCTTGTTCTTAATCTTGTTTGATTAAGTTTAATATGCTTGTTAATTGTTTTAATTAAGGGGCGGGTCTTGGTGGGTTTCCTTCCGCGTAGTGTCGGGTCACTACGAAACCCTACATGGGGGCTGCGCCGTGTTGCGACTTTTCTCGGGAATTCGGCCCTAAAGGCCGTCTTTTTCCCCATGATTGGGAGTGCCATGTTCCAGCTAGGGATTTTTACATTTTGAACCTCTCTAAAGGTAACACGTGTCACCCTATGACTGGGCCACGTGTCTTGGGTATTTTACCCAAAACATTTGCCCCTCTGATAAGCCGTGTTTTGTGCATAATTGTTAGCCTCTTTTTAGTTGTTCTTATTAGTCTAGCTTAGTATTTTAGTTCATTTTGGTTTGATTTGGTTTAGTTTCCATGATTTGATGCTTTTATGGGTAGTTTCGTTGTTTTTGATGTATTTCAGGATTAACGAAGCTAATTTAGAGATTTTATGAAGTCATGAGACTAAACCGAGGCCCACGGACCTTCACGAAGCTCGTTGGTCGAAGAATGAATCACTTAGGCCTTTTTGGAGTCAAGCACGACCATGTTTAAGAGAGGCACTCCCATGCCCAGCTTAGGCACGTCCGTGCCTGAGCCTTAGAAACTGAGGGAAATTCTCAAGAAGTGAGACACGTCCATGTCTCATAGAGGCACGTTCGTGTCTCTGCTGCGGCCTTCGAATCTTCATATGAGACACGTCCGTGCCCAATATAAGCACGTCTGTGCCTAGAGTCCAGAAGATGAGAAGATCCTAACTCGAAGTGAGGCACGTCCGTGCCTCTTGTAGGCACGTCCGTGCCTCTTAGGAGGGTTATGCGCTGAATTTTCTTATGTTTTCTTATCTTTTTGTTGGGAGTATAAATACCCCAGACTTTATTATATTTCAGGATCAAGCATTCATTATTAGACCTAGTTTTCTCTAAAACTTTTACGTTTCTTTTGTAATTCAAGATTCAAGTTCTAATTTTGCAATCTCCATTTATTTCAAGATTTGGTATTTTCCTTTCATCCCTTATTTCTTAATTATGTTTTCTTTGATTATTTTTGCTATTGCTTATTTCATTATGTGTGAGTAGTTTTTTATATTCCAAGATCTAGGGTAGCCCAATTGTGATTGATGCATGAATTGATTCTTTAAATTCTCTAACGACAATTGCGATTATTTATGCTAAATTGATTGTGATTATGCCAATACTAGATTAGAGATAATTAGTATTGTTATTATTCAATAGTTTTAATCACAACGAGAGTTGGGTTTTAACGGATTTTAGTAGATCAATTTAGGGTTTGAGATTCATCACGAGAGTAGTTGAATAGATAATTGGGAAGCGAAGTAAAGTGTTTAATGTCTCTAATTTGCACGATTCCATGAGAATAGGCTTGATTGTGGTTAGAGAAGCCATTGATACTCGAGAGAGGTCCTTGGCATTTATTAGGGTTTGCTTTTCCTCATGTTAATTGGATTTGTAAGTTAGGGGTAGATAGATAATTGCATCGATCGTAATTGTGGTGATACTTGATCTTGGATGTTTTAGTTCATTGATTTATCACATTCTTTAGATTTATTGAGTTCTTTATATACTAGTTCTTAGAATATTTCACCATTGATTGTTACTAGCTTAGTGATTATTTGAGTCTATTTAATTAGGTGAACCTTAGTCTCTTGGGATTCGATCCTTAATTGCCCGTCTACATAGTAGTGGTCTTGTTAGGTTATTTTTGTAGGTACGCGACACGCCTATCAAATTTTGGCGCCGTTGCCGGGGACTAATGGTTTCTGTCTGATTATTTATGATTCGTTTTTACTAAGCTTTCGATTTGTTGCTTCGACTATTGCCCCTTATATTTTTGATCTCCTCTTTTTAGTTCTTTGTTGCATGCAAACTCGATGTTCAGGTTTAGACAGCTTAACACCTTTTGACTCTGAAATCGAAGCTACTGCAAGGAGACGAAGAGGTAGAAGAAAGAGATATCAAAATACAAATAAAATGACCGAAAGAATCAAATCTTTACTGGAGTACGACATTCCTGATACCGCAACCGAGCTCCTATCCAGCATTGTCAAACCACCTATTACCGCTCAGTGCTTTGAATTAAAACCTCAATTTATACAGTTCATCTCCAATGGCTCATTTGCAGGCACACCTCATGAATGCCCTGTTAGCCACATAGACAATTTCTTGGAGAAGTGTGACACCATAAAGCTCAATGGTGTTACTGACGATGCTATTAGACTTCGTTTGTTCCCTTTTTCACTACGGGATAGAGCGAAGGAATGGTTACGAGACGAAGGTATAGGTTCCTTTGATACATGGGATAAGCTCGCCAAAGCTTTCTTAGTAAGATTTTTAGGGCAAGAGAAGACTGCAAGGTTAAGGAACGAGCTAGATACCTTTCGTCAATCTGATGATGAGTCTTTATATGAGGCATGGAGAAGATTCAAGCGCTTACAGAGACAATGCCCTCATCACGGTATCCCAGAGTGGATGTTGATCCAAACATTCTACAATGGTCTGACGCATGAGTTCCGCATATACATTGATGTTACATACGGGGGTTCTCTCATGACTAAGAACCCAACTGAAGCCAAAGAGCTAATTGAGAAGATGGCAGCCAATGATAATTATCATCCAGGAGGTCGACATAGTGTGAAGAAGGGAGGTAAATTAGATGTTGATGCTCTAACTCTTTTGACTAGCTCTGTGCAGGCATTGACAAGCAAGTTTGACAGACTCCAAGCCGGAACATCTACTAGCTCACCGGAGACCTGTCAGATGTGTAATGTGCAGGGTCACATTGCATCTAATTGCCCCAAAATTTCCAGTGAGATGTCAATTGAGGAGGCCAATGTTTTCTACACCTCTAATCCTAAAAGGCCGTATGATCCTCATTCAAACACATATAATGAAGGGTGGAGAAATCATCCGGACTTCTCTTATATGAACACTCAAGCTCAATTAAATTCTCCGTCGCCACCACCTAGTTTTCAAGCAAGGGCATCTTTTAATCACCAACCCATGAATCTACAACTACCACCGCAAACTTCAAAATACAATATTGATTCCATTATGGAGACTTTCACTACTTCCTAACTTCGACAGCAAGAGCTTATGACAAAGCAATTTGAGCTACAAGCAAAGCAAAATGAACACTTTGAAAGATCGATTCAAATGCTTATTGCTCAAAATAAGAGGATAGAAACTCACCTTTCTCAACTTTCACAACAAGTGAGTCATTTATCAACTCTTCATGATCAAGAAAAAGTCCAAAAGGAACAATGCAATGCAGTTTTCTTGAGAAGAGATGAATTATTTTCGAGGAAAATAGATGAGAAAGTGTGCAGTGTGGAGTCAAGAAAAGATGAAAAGTGTAAGGATGTAAAAAGTCCCCAATATGTTCCTCCACCGGCCTATGAGGAACCGATGCCCTTCCCGCAAAGGTTGTCAAAAGCCGTGCTCGATAAACATTTTGGAAAATATTGCGAGACTCTTAAAAAGGTACATGCTTCCATTCCTTTTTCTGATCTTTTAATTCAAATGCCTCAATTTGCAAAATTTGTGAAGGAAATTAAAGATCAACATGATGATAAGGAAGTAGTAAATGAGAAATGCTCTACTCTTTTACGTGATAGCCTACCACCTAAGCTGCATGGTCCTGGTAGTTTTACTATTCCCTATATGATAAACGAAATATTTTTTGACAGGGTCTTATGTGATTTAGGTGCTAGTGTAAATTTAATGCCTTATTCATTATATGAAAAATTAGGTTTGCAAAAACTTAAACCTTCCCCTATTTCTCTTTAAATGGCTGATAGGACTGCTAGACTCCCTAAAGGTGTGGTTGAGGATGTATTAGTTAAGGTTGGTGAACTTGTTTTTCCTGTTGATTTTGTTGTTATGGATATGAAAGAAGACCATAAGATCCCGATTATATTTGGTCACCCATTCCTTGCCACAAGTCAAGCTCTAATAGATGTTCCTAAAAGACAAGTGACCATTAGGGCCCAGGATAAACAAGTAGTGTTTAAGCTCTTTAATGAACATAATTTTTTATTTGATGGTGGTACTTGTTTAAGAATTGATGCTACTAACCCTTTGGTTGATAAGTGTGTATGTGATAGAAATCTTGTGAGAAACGAGGACAATATTCCACCAAATGATGTGTTTAGCTACATGAAAGTAAGTTCGGATACAAAGCATGTCAGATATAAAATGAAGGAGTCATTTGGAGGCGGATATTTTTATGGGAAACATCGCGAAGTTTCTTCTTTGTATGATGACCCAGGCTGAGCTAATAAAGAAGGTCAAGCTTAAGACCTTAAACAAGCGCTAAATGGGAGGCAACCCATTCCTTTTTACTTTTATTTTATTTATTTATTTAATTTTATTTAATTTATTTAATTTAATTTTTTTTTTGCCTTTTAATTTTTTATTTTCCTGTTTTGTTAGTGTCTAGAAAACAAGCAAACAGAAAGGTCATCACTGCCCCGAGGTATGATTTTCCCCCTCCCGATCATTAAACCTGTTTCCCTCTCCCCTTGTCCATTTTACACTGATTTATGCATACATTGATGAAAATGTATGGTTTAGCTTGGGGGAGGGTTCATTTTTCACCATGTATATATTAGTTTTTTTTAGTGTTTGGTTAGTTTTTCTTTCTTATTAGTGTTTTTGATATGCCATTACACGCTTATGCTTCTATCATAATGATCATACATGTGTGCTTTCTGAAAAGTTTTTTTCGAAAACCCATTTACCAATTTGCTTGGAATTGAGTAAGTTTGTGGCTAGGATGGTCTCCCCGCTCTACTTATGTGAATAGTTTGTGTACCTGGTGAGATTTTTGAGCCATATTTGACTGATTTCATTCTAACTCAGTCGTACTTTTTCATGTGTGATTAGTTGTCCTTCATGTAATTGAATTCTTGGCTTTGCTCTTTGACTATTTGAGACTTGAATGATGCATGTTGCGGAAAAGTGATTGAAATTTCCCTTGTAGAGAATAGAGCCTCAACATTCTAGGTCCGCATAAATTTTATTTTTATTTTTGAATTAACCATAGGTTGAGCCACTTTGAGCCGTGTTTATCCTTTTCTTGATACCCTACATTTAAAACCATAAGCCGTTTTTGTAGGTTTCTTTTGAAGGAGAATTACACTTGTTTCAGCCCTATGAGTGACTTGTGAAAAAAAAAGGTTTTAAAATTCCATATATCCATACCTCAAAACAAAGAGGAGTTCTAAAAGTCTTCCTAAATCGTAAAATGCTATAAATCCCTTGTTTTTGCAAGTTTATAAAAGAGAGAGAGAAAAAAAATGTGTGATTGAAAAAAAAGGGCTATGCTTAAATTGTATGAAGTTGGAGGAAATAAGGTTGGTTTGAACCCGATATTTGAATGTGTAGTGGGATTAGGATTTTTATACTTTTGAGCACCACATTCCCAAATAACGTCGTCCAACCCTCTAATAACCAAGCTTACCCTTTTTGGATTTCATGATTTTCGCAACTGCATCAATCTTTGAAAGTGGAGAAAGTCACATTGCAATTCTAAAGAGGACAATTCATGTGAAGTTGACATGCATTTTATGCCTAGGTTGAGTGATCTCATATTTCACCCCGTAAATACATGAGCGTTTATTGCTTTTATTTTTCACAACTAAAGTGAGAGCTATTCATGTTTGTGTGAGTTGGTTTGGGGAGATGTGTGGTAAGATGTTTGTCGATTCCAAGTATGAGAGGTTTATGGTGGTTTTATGCACATTGATTCTAATTTTTTTCTTTCCTATTGATTTCAAATAATGCCACATTATGATGATTTGAGAAGTTTTCTTGCTCTTCCTTTGTGATTCATGGTCGAATGCTTAAGGACAAGCACTAGTTTAGCTTGGGGGAGTTTGATAAGCCGTGTTTTGTGCATAATTGTTAGCCTCTTTTTAGTTGTTCTTATTAGTCTAGCTTAGTAATTTAGTTCATTTTCGTTTGATTTGTTTAGTTTTGATGATTCGATGCTTTCATGGGTAGTTTCGTTGTTTTTGATGTATTTCAGGATTAAAGAAGATAATTTAGAGATTTTATGAAGTAATGAGACTAAACCGAGGCCCACGGACCTTCACGAAGCTTGTTGGTCGAAGAACGAGTCACTTAGGTATTTTTGGAGTCAAGCACGACCATGTTTAAGAGAGGCACGCCCATGCCCAGCTTAGGCACGTCCGTGCCTGAGCCTCAGAAACTGAGGGATATTCTCTAGAAGTGAGACATGTCCGTGTCTCATAGAGGCACGTTCGTGTCTCTAATGCGGCCTTCGAATCTGCATATGAGGCACGTCCGTGCCCAATATAGGCACGTCCGTGCCTAGAGTCCAGAAGATGAGAAGATCCTTACTCGAAGTGAGGCACATCCGTGCCTCTTGTAGGCACGTCCGTGCCTTTTAGGAGGGTTATGCACTGAATTTTCTTACGTTTTCTTATCTTTTTGTTGGGAGTATAAATACCCCAGACTTTATTATATTTCAGGATCAAGCATTCATTATTAGACCTAGTTTTCACTAAAACTTTTACGTTGCTTTGTAATTCAAGATTCAAGTTCTACTTTTGCAATCTCCATTTATTTCAAGATTTGGTATTTTCCTTTCATCCCTTATTTCTTAATTATGTTTTCTTTGATTATTTTTGCTATTGCTTATTTCAATATGTGTGAGTAGTTTTTTATATTCCAAGATCTAGGGTAGCCCAATTGTGATTGATGCATGAATTGATTCTTTAAATTCTCTAATGACAATTGCGATTACTTATGCTAAATTTATTGTGATTATGCCAATACTAGATTAGAGATAATTAGTATTGTTATTATTCCATAGTTTTAATCACAACGAGAGTTGGGTTTTAACGGATTTTAGTAGATCAATTTAGGGTTTGAGATTCATCACGAGGGTAGTTGAATTGATAATTGGGAAGCGAAGTAAAGTGTTTAATTTGCATGATTCCATGAGAATAGGATTGATTGTTGTTAGAGAAGCCATTGATACTAAAAAGAGGTCCTTGGTATTGATTAGGGTTTCCTTTTCCTCATGTTAGTTGGATTTGTATGCTAGGGGTAGATAGATAATTTCATCGATCGTAATTGTGGTGATACTTGATCTTGGATGTTTTAGTTCATTGATTTACCACAGTCTTTAGATTTATTGAGTTCTTTATATACTAGTTCTTAGAATATTTCACCATTGATTGTTACTTGCTTAGTGATTATTTGAGTCTATTTAATTAGGTGAACCTTAGTCTATTGGGATTCGATCCTTACTTTCCCGTCTACATAGTAGTGGTCTTGTTAGGTTATTTTGGTTAGGTATGCGACACGCCTATCACCTTCACATGTGTGACGTGGCATGCCCCTGAATTACAGGGGTGCCCCTGAATTCACCCTTCTATAAATAGGGTTTTACCTTCCCCCCTCATTTTGTCATTTTCAAAAAGTCTAGAGAGAGAGAGTCAAACGTTTTAGAGAGAGAATATCTGACAACAACCTGTGTACCTTCTAGAATTCCCCTTTCTTGCCTAACTTGTTATAGTCGGTCAACAGTCTGTGCATTTCACAAACAGCTGCTTGATTTCTGCCCGCCTGTTACAACCGGTAAGCGCTTGACACCCCTTTTAGAAACAAAACTTTGAGGTACCGTCTCTCCCCTTCTTAGCTCTTTCATACTTTTTCCTTTTGTGTACATATTATTCAATAAATAGATTCACCAACAGCACACACGGCACAACCTAGGTTAGTAGTCAGCCGGTCCCCTGGTACGACTTAGTCTAAGACTGGGGGTGCCGTCTCTGGGTGTTTGGATCACCCTTGTTCATCTCCAAATCCGACCGTCTCCGTGTCTGTGCAGGATACTTTGGCTCGGACGATGTGGACGACACTTGATCCAGACTATAGGGAAGAAGGCACAGAAGTTGTGCCGCCTGAGGAAGAGATGACTGAGGTGGGGGCACCAGCTGAAGAGGAGGGAGGATCGATCTCCTCCGGGTGCACCCACCACTCCTAGTGATTGGATCTTTGAATCAGAAGAGAGAGATGGTGAGGGAGCCGCCTCTGTATCAGGTTTTGAAGAGGATGATGCTGTCTCTGAGAGAGACGGGGCAGAGACGGCCTCTGGGTCTAGCTCTGGGGAGAGCAGTAGTGGCTCACTATCGCCGGCTGAGGATAGTGAGGCTGAAGAGAGGAAAAAGGTGGAGCAATGAGGGGGATCCGTTCCCACTACTAGAAATAGGTCGTTTTCTGACGGACCTAAATTCCATCGGAAAATTCGAACTTTCCGACGGAATTAGGGTCCGTTAGAAAATTCCGTCGGAAAAGGTAGGTTACGACGGAAAATCTGTCGGAATTCTTGCGACAGAAATAAATTTTCTCGGAACTATAGGCTTTCGACGGAATATAAATTTCCGACGGAATTAAAATCCATCGAAAATTTTAGACGGAATATTCTCTCGGAAATCCCAAATATTCCGACGGATTATTATTCCATTGGAAATTTCCGACGGAATTTCCGTCGGAATCTTATTAAAAAAAAAAGAACATAAAAACCCGGAAACCCTAATCTCTCTCCCCTTTCATTTCTCTTTTGTCTCTCCACTCTTCTGCTTCTTTTCCCTTTCTCTCTCCTCTCCTCCTCTTCTCCTTCCTCCTTCTTCTCCCTGTAATCTCTCTCCTCGTTCCTCCTCTGATGATTAAGTTTTTTGGTATTGGTGGTACTGTTGCTGTTATCCTCAACGAGTCCAAGTCAGTCATCATCCCATCTCTCCACTCTTCTGCTT